TTGATGCAATTGCTTTAGCACTACATTATTTGGTTAATATATGTAATAAGATAATTTCCAGTTATTAGTGGACTGTCAATGATTGTTTTCACATAATTAGTTCTTGTTACTTTGCGTAAGCTGATCACCATTTTTCTTGAATGACATGAAATTCATCTATCTCCTGCCTTAAGATTTTTACATATTCGTCCATCTCCTGCCTATGAAATGATCGCACGTTATCGAGTGAATAAGTTATTCCAAGTCCTAGTTACCAATAAAAATCTAGTTTTCCTCCATTCATTGAATTCTCTAGTTGTCTAGTAATTTCTAAGTTGATTCTGTGATTGATAAGGTACTAACTATTTGACTACGTTCATCGCGTGTTACATTAAATATGTGAATTTCTGACTTGAGATGCATCTAATACGTTGCAAGATACCGATATGATGAAGGAGAGATTTTCAAAATTGTTGCTTGGAGAAGACATGTCAGGGTGTGGGAAGGGTGTCTGCGCTGCATTGGCGATTTCGAATGCCATCACCAATCTCTGTGGTAAATATTATTTCCAACGAAAACTAGGTTTCTATTGTTATACCATGATTGACTCGTAGGTTTCACTTTCTTGTTGTTGACCTTGTTTTATCTCATTTTACCCAGCCACACTTTTTGGGCAACTTTGGAGGCTAGAGCCTATTCCTCCTGAGAAGAAATCTATGTGGCAAAGGGAGATGGAATGCCTCCTCTGTGTTAGCGATCACATCGTTGAACTGATACCTTCTTGGCAAACGTTTCCTGATGGAAGCAAGCTTGAGGTGAGAAATTTCTTGGTGCATAGTCTAAATTAAGAGATATGGTGTGTATGTGTTTCGGTTAGTTCTCAAGTACTTCAGTTGCACGTCGAGCATAAGCAAGATTTAAACATGCGTTTTCTATTACGCCAAATACTTCAATTGCATTGTTTTCGTACTTTTGTGTTTTTGGTTTGTTGGAATCGTAAGAGAATGTTTGGTCATAGTTCGATTCTAACTATGTTTCCATAACTATCTCATTAACAGCCCATCTAGGTTTATTAATTTGGCTCATTTATGTCCAAGTGAGCTCGTCACGTACTTATCAAATTCTTAACAAACATTTCCTGATGGGAGTAAGTTTGAGGTAAGCAATATATCGGTTCGTAGTCTAGGCTAAGAGACAACAATAATGTTTGCTAGTAGTTATTGAGTACTTAATTGCGCTTCAAGCGCAAGCAAGATATAATAAGTGTTTCCCATACTTCCCATACTTCAAAATTCATTACATTTGAGACTAATAGTTGTATAAAGTACCTCAATTGCACTGTTTTCTTACCTTTGTGTTTCTAGTTTTTGGGATTTTAGTAGAAAGTTTGGTCATAGTTTGATTCATGCAGGTAAATGTTTCAATAGATATCCCGTTAATAATTCATCTCAGTTTAATAATTTGCCTCATTTATGTCCAAGTTAGCTTGTCAGTACCTATTGAGTTCTTAGTAGTTACAATCGATTATTCTTAACTTGTGGTAAACTTATTCAGGTCATGACCTGCAGACCACGTTCAGATCTGTTCATCAATCTCCCTGCCCTTCGTAAATTAGACAACATGCTCCTTGTAAGGCTTTACTCCTGCTTCATCATTGTACATATCAAATTCGAGCTTAATTTTCTCTAAAAATTAGATTTTCTCTGTAACAGGAAATATTGGACAGTTTTCATGACCAAGAATTTTGGTACGTTGATCAAGGGATTTTAGCACCAGAGACCGATGGCTCAGCCTCTTTCAGGAGAAACTTTCAACGTCAAGAGGAGAAATGGTGGCTGCCCGTGCCCCATGTTCCTGCTGGAGGCCTTCAAGAGAGCTCAAGAAAGCAGTTGCAGCACAAACGAGAATGCACGAACCAGATCTTGAAGGCGGCAATGGCCATTAACAGCAATTCTTTAGCAGAAATGGAAGTGCCTGAGTCCTTTCTTGATTCATTGCCTAAGGTCTCCTCTTCAACTCAAGAATACTCTCACTATTTTCAGAACAATAAATTACAAGGAACCCTCTTCATCTATACCCTGATCATTAAGGAAACTTTTCATAATGAAGTTTGGTTATATGAAGGTCTTGATTGCCCTTGAGTAGAAATCTGAGAGTTTTTACCTGTTCAAAATCCACAATTAATCATTGTTTGATTTCTACCCAAGTACAAATGTTTGTCAATACGTCTGAAGAACAAAACCCCATTGTAGAATTGACAGTTTCATTAAAGATCAAAGGTGATGGGGTTTTCCCGTTGAACTTTTTAGATACGGTTTTCTTTTGGAAAAACATTGCGTAAGATGAAGGGGTTTTCTTGTAATTTACCCTTCGAGAATATTGAATTTAAACAAGTTTTATTCAAATTTCAGAGTGCCAGAGAGAGCCTTGGTGATGTGATACATCGATACATCACCTCTGATCAATTCTCCCCTGAATGCCTTCTCGATTGCCTCGAATTCTCCTCTGAACACCAAGCTCTAGAGATTGCCAATCGCGTCGAGGAGTCCCTTTACGTATGGAGTAAAAAAACTGCATCAAGAGCGAGAAACAATGCAGAGAAGAGGGAGTTATTTGCAGATAGAGCTAAGAGCCTCTTGCTATGCTTGAAGCAAAGGTTTCCTAGCCTTACACAAACCACACTGGACATAAACAAAATCCAATTCAACAAGGTTCTTGTACTCTTCATACCCACTCTTTTAGCGTTAGTTTCAATTAACACCCCCTGAACTTCGGTTGCTCATAACCCCATCGAACTTTGTTTATTCCACTCAACCCCCCTAAACTGGTCTCACTTAAACTCCAATGTAGCACTGTCAACTTTGCAGGCTCGCATCCCAAGCACGTGACAGCAAAAATGCCCCTTAGTTTACTAAAAAATTTACCCTTTTCAGAAAGGGCATTTTCATCATTTCCTTATTAGCAGGTAACAACGTTACTGTTGAGATAAGTTCAAACATTAGGGGGTTGTCCGAAACACCCCCAAAAAGTTCAGGGGGATTAAGAGGAATAAACAAAGTTTAGGGAAGTTATGTGCGAACCCCCCTACCCCAAAAGTTTAGGGAAGTGAAATTAACCCTTTATTCAAGCAAAACCTTTTCGAAACTGACATAAACTCAATACTTTCAGGATGTTGGAAAATCAATTCTAGAAAGCTATTCCAGGGTTTTGGAGAGCCTAGCGTTCAACATTGTTGCTCGAATTGATGATCTATTATATGTCGATGACTTAACTAAGCATTCGAATCCATCTCCATCGATTATGCCAGTGAGCTCGGTTCACAAAAGACTTCCAGTTCCTTATTCAGTGAATGTTTCGAGTAGTCCATATGCCAGTGCTCGTGCAACTCCAAGCATTTCACCTATGCCATTGATAAGCCCAGCTCGCGGGGAGAGGACCCCTTTTATCACGAGAAAGGCTCATAATCGAGGTTTTGGAGTGAAGAAAGTTCTGACAGATTATTTGAATGGTGAAGGGAGAGGGAAGAACAATTGTAATGTTGTTGATATTTCAGCGCCGATTCAAAGATGAAGGAACGGTGGGAAAAAAAAGCTAAGAAATTGACAGGAATCTTGAGAGGTAGAATATTGGACGAAGTCAGGAGCTCACCTGACCGTTAACTGATTTGCCAAAATTTTTAGCTTATGCAATACTGATTTGAGTGCTAGTGATACTCTTTTTTCCTTGTAGAAAATGGTTGAATTGTTTATTGTATGAAGTATTTTATATATAAACAATCATAGAGTTTTCATTTTTGCTATTGAAATTATTAGAGTAGACTATTGTTAACCTTAGATCCAAATACAAAGATGAAAAAAAAATCATACTTCGTTTACCTTATATATGAATATGATTTAATAAATGTAGACTAGTGTATATATAAAGTGTCAAACTATCTAAATACAAATTCCTTAATAAATCAATGTAAATTCATTTACTAAAAAACTACTGAGTAATATGTACTTAATATATATATACTCATTTTTTTTATTTCCTAAAGGCCACGGTCAAGAAGTATCCTGTTCTTATATTAAGTTTGTTTTCCTGACAATATTAAATGGGAAACAACAAATGATTTATCCAAAATTTTGGGATTGACTACAGGAATAGTATTCTTTTATTCAATTCTTCGGATAATATCTTTATCTGTTTGAATACATATCTACATTATACAAATAAGGGTTATTTGCACTTTTGTAACCTAAAACTTCATGTTATGCAGTTAATATGTGATGTATTTATGACAATAATAGACTTATAATGAAAAATAAATCTCTCTATCCCATTTCTTCCTTCTCTTTGTATTAGGACTTTGGTGGAATTTGATCTTAATAAAATGAGGAGGAAGAAATGGGGCGCATGAGATTTGCTTTTCATTATCATTAGGGTATTATTATTAAAAATGTAT